CCCGCCCCAATCCAACCCGCCACACGCTGTATTGCCTTGCATGACACGATGTCACCCTGCGTCACCCCGCATTATCCCCTCCCCCCCCCAAAGGCTACTTTGCGTTCACCAAGCTGTCTGAGAAGCTGGGCCTCAACAAGGGCAAGGCCAAGAAGGCCAAGAAAGCGGAGGGCCCTGTTACCATCGACGAGGACGACTGGGTCAAGGGCACCCACTACGAGGTGCAGAAGAGGCGGCGGGCGGCGGCGGCCAAGAAGGCGTGACACGCGCGCGCTTTGAGGCGGCCCCTTGGGCGCTGTGAAGGCGGGCGGCGGCGGCGAAGATGGCGTGACACGCGCCTGGGCGCCCGCGAGGCGGGCGGCGCCCGCCGGCGGCCGGGACGGCGGCGGCCGCGGGCTCGTCGGAGCTGCGGGTCTCTTTTTTTTCCGGGCGCTCGGTTTTGATGCGGAGGAGGCCGGGGCTTCGCGGTGGGGCTGCGCCGCTCGGCCTACGGAGGGCGCTGCAGGGAGCGGAATACGGCGGGCGCCTGGGGCTTGGCGGCAGCGGCGGTGGCGCCTGCGCGGGGCCTCTTCCGCCGGGCGAGGCAGCGACCCCGCGGCCTCCGCCAAATAGGTGACGAGGCAGCGGCGGGGGAGGCGCCGGCCAGCCGCAGCCGCTGGCGTAATTAATGGCGTCCGTGGGTGCGCCGCGCCGCGCGCCCCTGTGCGTGGCGCGGCGCCCAGCTCTCGGGTCGGCCGGGCGATTCTCCGCCTAACCGCGGCGGATTCTCCTGTTTTGTGTGTGGGAGTAGTGCGGCTGGTCCCTCTGCTATAGAAAGGCGCCACTTTCGGGTGTCGTTTCACGCCAGCCCGCGGGCTGGCCTGTAGTCAGCACCGCAGCAGCCGGCCAGGGGCCGGGATGCCGCTCGCCGCTCGCCGTGCGCCCTGCCAGGGGCGCCAAGGCGCGGCCGCGCCGCACGCTGCTGCCCTGGCGCGCGTGCGGGGCGGCGGCGCTGGCGGGCGCGCTCGCGCGCCCGTGCCCCTCTCACCATAAACTTCGACCCATCAGTCTCTGTTTGGCTTGCTTTTTGTGTGTAACCGACTCAATGCCTTACTCCGATCAATAGCTAGTGTGAACGTCAGCGGCTTCATTTGTTCAGAACCATAACAGGGGAAAGCAATGGGATGGGGTTGCATGGTGCTGAGCACAGGGCCAGGAATACGGTCAATGGTGCCGCTTCAAACATCAAGGCACGCCCAAGGAGATGAGATGCGGAAATATGGCAGGTGGCTGCACCACACCCAGCGGGTGCTACATGTGTGACGTCATCAGACGTCGACCCCAAACGGAGCATCAAGCAGCCCCGTCCCCTGCTGCCCCCCGCCCGGCACCGCCGCCTGCCGCTGCGGCGGCCCCCTCGCCGCCGCCGCGCCGCCGCCGCCGCCGGACGGCTGCGGCGAGCGGCCGGACGCGGGCCGGTGCTGCTGCGGTGGCGGGTTCAGGTGCGGCGGCGCGCGGTGCCGGCG